GTGTCGCTAAAGTTTTGTCCAATTAACTTTCCGTAACTTCGTTCCAACAAACGGAGACGTAACAGTATGATCGGACAAACATGTACATTTGTTATTCTGGCCTGTATAAGTTTTAAGCATTTGTTTGTCAAAACACAGATACACATGTGTTTTCTATAAAAGGGCATGCTTTTGGTATAGTATTTTTTCGAAACAGATCAACGCTTTGTTCAGACAGTTTCTTTGTACTTAGTGCAGAGTTATGCCTCGTCACATCATGGCCGTAAACCAGAGATATAGATTTACCATGGCAAAAAATGACAATCAGCTGGGGGTTTTTGGGGCGCTGTAAGCCAACTAAGAAAAATTTAAAATTTTAGCCGTCTCATAACCATTCTATGCGATTCTCCGATGGTTTTGGTTTGCTCAATTTACACTCTACCCACAGGGGTTTGTTCAAGTATACATGCAAGGAATTATGTTACCACCGAAAAAAACGCTAAGAAAAAACTACCGGGGCAGTTGCCCTATAGCTGGTTACGGCCATGCACATTCCAGAAGTTATGGGGCGTCAAATTGTTCAACTGTCCAGAAATGGTATGAAGCAAACGGACATTGCCAAAACAATAAGATAACCCCAGTATATTGTATCTCGAATCCTCAAACGTCATCGGACTATAGGAAACGTTATTCCAGGAAAGTAAACTGGTGACGCCGAAAAACTACTGCCCGAACTGAACGTGTTTTGATCAGGTTAGCACACCAAGTCGAAAAACGTCTTGCAATACTTTAAGACAGGAATGGCATGAAAACATCCATTCCAGGGTATCAAGAAGAACAGTGAATAGAAGACTGACCAAACAAAGTTATTTTCCAAGAAGGGCTATCTGAAAACTGACATGAACCAGAATTCACTGCCTTCACTGTGTTACTTGGGCAAGACGGCATGCCAACTTACAGTTAGGACACTGGCGACATGTCATATTTTCAGATGAATCATATTTCCGGCTTGTTAAATCTGATGGTAGGATTCGTGTTCGTCGTTTGTCTGGAGGACATATGAGGGAAAAGTGTGTTTCCTACAGGGAACACACAGGAGGTGGTCCAGTACATGTTTGGGCAGCTATTCATCATGGTAGAAAAACTGCTCTTCATATCCTTCAACAAAACGTCAATGATGCCTCCTACAGGAATCACATGGAGGCGATATTTCAGCCATATGCTAGGGTTTAGCAATAATTTTTTGTTCCAGGATGATAATACCACTGCCCACAGTGCGCATATTGTACAGGATTATCACAACCAGGTTGATGTTACAAGATTGCAATGACCCATTGAGAACTGTTGGGCAGAACTGATCGGGAAAAGTGCTAGCCACAATCCTAAACAAGCTAATATAACTGAGTTTTAACAGTTGGATGAAATCACTGTGGATTACATCAATAACTTCATCGACAGCATGCCACACCTTGCGGAGGTTATTTTAGTACGAGAAGTACCAACCAAGTACTGAATGTTTACTATGAACAGATATAAAGTTACAGAACCTACTTATAATAATTTGATGGTATATTTTGTCATTATATACGTTTTTGTATGGTTTTGTTGTGATAGGTGAAATTCTCAATTACACATCTTTCAATGGGTGTTTCATAAAATTGTTTGCTGTTCTAATAAATTGTTCATGATGTCCATATAACCAATCTCAAGTTACATATGTAGATGTTTAATATAACATGCATTTCTCAGTTTGACAGCGCTAAGTGTATTTGCATTCCATCTTAATTAATAAGAATGATCTTACTTGTTATAAATATGCAAACATTTTTTTCATCTCATTAGTTACAAACATTGCTAATAGATGACACTACTTTTGCGCCATAATTAATGAAATTGTATTTTTATTAGACAAAAGGTAGTATATACACATAACTAATACTAAGAGAAAAAATAAGCATGTGGTACGACATCTATTTTATTCTTTCTTACTTCCCCGAATTTATATGGAAGTTCCCGAATGATATTCTGAGATCCTCTTTTCGAGTAATGTATTGCTTCTTCCCGGTATGCAGTAACGGATTTACTGTCTTCTTGACCTTGCAAAACACTACTTCTTCCACTGTTTTTCACGTAGCTGTTATTTTTAACGTAATGTTAGTAATTATGGTCTCTAGCAAATGTTCCTTGTTTCCAAACTTACAGTACGAATAAGTTTTTAAGGGTTTCTCTGATTTGCTTACTATTAAGTAATAATTATTAGTTTAGTATTCCCTGTTTATAGCATTTTTTTTTTAACCAGGAAGTGAATCAATATAAATGTTCTGGTGACTTACTCATTCAGAGCTGATATTCTTATTTGTCGACCACAAAAAGTTTCCCATTTTGGAAGAAAATGGCGCTTTTTTTGTGCCACAGTTGGAATATACATATTAAAAAAAATTAGTTAACTACATTTACTGTATGAATTGTTTCACGGAGTTTTCTTTTATCTTTTCGCACTATTATAATGTGTATCTTGACATTGCCTTCGTGCAGCTTCTTGAAAAATATTGGAAATAGCAGTCGCTTACAACTAGAGATCAATTCGACTTTCCTGTAATATATTGCTCAATGTTCTTATGGCCATACTCTCAGATATCTAGCAACTTTAATAGCTTTCTATTGATCATTCTGTTCAGTCACTTCAAAAATATTTTTAAACTAACCGTGATTTGCTTTTGCTGGTAGTGCTATACTAAATTTTATGTAGGCCAGAATGGAGGAGAATATTTTGCATACTGTGCCTACAAATGTAGCTTTAGTGTTTTATGGGCTAAAAAATCAAGTCAGAAACTCCAAGGTTCAGGCTTAGCCATACCTAATTTTAAAATACTGACCAGAGGGAGGGCAAGCAGTCAGAAGTACACACTGCCTACACTTAACCAAATAGTGAAATTGATTGCAACTTTGTATAACACTCCCACATATCTAAATGGGGAGAAGTTACAGCAACATATCGTGGGCTCGAACATCGGGCCTTTATATCAGCAGTCCAGCACTTTAACTCCTAGACCGTTCCTGGTCTCTCCTATCCAGAACTGCGAAACCTACAAGAATATATATTGTTACGTCTCTGTGTTCGTTTGTTCATTTACCGTAGAAATTCTTTCCGAAGAAACTTTAGCGATACAAATCCTTTCTTAAATAAAACTAGTTTATTCTTTCTCAATACAACTTTGCAATACACTTAATTTCCACAGTCAGTTCAACTTCAACAAACGCTATAATTCACAACGAACGATTCACGCGCTTGACTCAATTGTTCGTCTCTATCTCTGTCTGCAATTCAATTTCAATGTTGCCGTCATTTCTCGGCGGTCTTATATATCACAATAGCGTACATCTCGTCTCTTCATGAATCTTAGAAACTCATCACGTGTTACCAGCGTCAAGTGACTTCCGCTGTCGTAACAGCTAGAAACCGTGTTTCGATACACGTGGTGGGCAGCGCACAGATAGTCCACTGTGTAGCTTTGTGCTTAACTACTAGCAAACAAAGTATCGATTTTCATTGAACCAACCAGCAACTAAAATTTTATGGAAGGGCAGTTAGGATTTGTCAACCAACCGGCACCGAGAAGCAATCTTTAACTTTTATCGAATAGTAAGGCATATGTTTTACTAAATGCCAACTCATTCGGTAAAAATAAACTTTGCACACCCTTATTATTCATCGTTTGATTTTGTTTTGTTGTTGTTTAGTCCGCGACACCGTTCATACTGAATAAGTTTTCGAAGCCCGGCATGACCAGATGGTTAGGGCGCTCGACTCGCAATCTGAGGGTCGCGGTTTCGAATCCCCCGCCCACCAAACATGCTCGCCGTTTCAGCCGTGGGGGCGTTATAATGTAACGGTCAATCTCACTATTCGTTGGTAAAAGAGTAGCCCAAAAATTGGGGGTGGGTGGTGATGATTAGCTGCCTTCCCTCTAGTCTTACACTGCTAAATTAGGGACAGCTAGCGCAGATAACTCTCTTGTAGCTTTACGCGAAATAAAAAAACAAGCAAACAAGTTTTCGAAACTAGTTCAGATTTTCAAACATTCAACCCCCCCCCCCCCCACGTGGCATGTCTGCGGATGTACAACACTAGAAACCAGGTTTCGATACTAGTAGTGGGCAGAGCACACATAGCTCATTGTGTAACTTGGTGCTTAACTTCAAACAAACAAAAATTCAAAAATTCAAGTATAGGCGGGAAAGAAGTTTTAAATTTTACGTTATCATATGGTGTTTGGCTAAACCTTTTGTTGGAAAAAAGCAATTTTGTAGTTATTTATCATGTTGCTTTCTGTGTTGCTTATAGTCTTTCCCTACTTATTATGAACTTGTTATTTATTCATTTACGGACAAGACTTATGAATTTCCCTGTCTACTTAAGGTGAAAAAAGCCTCCAGTAAGATAAAACTAGTAAGAACGAGCTGTTAGACATAGCTGGTACAGTTGTACACCCGCAGACGACACGAGAAGGTTTGTGGCATTGTCTGCGCATGTCCTGTATGCCTTCTGAATCAGCCATGTGTTAAATGGCGCAGACTTACGAGTTTTTAAGTTTCAAAATAATATAAATTTAACACTTACTATTTGAATGAAGAACACAGCCTAGATTTTCATGTAAGTATAAAAAGTTACCCAAAATGTATTTCATTGAAAATGTTTATGTATTTTTCAGTTATGAAGGGGTCAGCTCAGTGCTGTATAAAATTAAAAATCAAAATAATTTGGTGAACAGTAGGACTAGTACTAGTACTTACTTAGTACTACAAGTAGTAGTAGTAGTAGTAGAAACCTGAAACCTATATGAAAGACTTTTACATTTTAGCCTATTTACCATTAAATTACCAAGTTATGATAACTGTGAATCTGGTAACAGTGTTAAGTTAAAAATGATGAAACATGCATTTTCAGTAGAAATATCTCATTCAGTACCGTTATTATGGTGTTATAAAAAACTGATTGTGGGAACATGATAAATTGTTATATTTTATAATAATGGATCTTTGTAAGTGATATTATGTTTTTCAAATACTAAAGAATTATAAGTCTAAAACATTTTGTGACATGGTGGACTTAGAATATTAAGCTATATAAAAGAAAAAACAAGGCTATATTCTGAATTTTCGTTTATTTGTATTAGAGACTCGAGATGTATTGAGTGTTGTAGAATCACGTTTAATATTATTTAAATTTAAAGTGAATGGAGATCCCAATTAAGAATTATTAGTGATACAGTTATTCTCACTATATCATTAGAATATTGTTTTCATGACATATTTGGTTAAAGCACCAGATACTGTACTGTTTTATAAATCTCTTTAGTCATAAAATATTTAAAAAGAATACACTGATGAAATTAATAATTTCTACATAAGTGCAATAATACATTATATAGAAATATTGTAAGTAATGTTATTAATGTAAATAAATATAGGATTGTAAGGTTTTGCTGTAACAAATATATTTAAATCTTAGTATAATGATTTGTTTCACTCTTAAAAGCAACTATTGATATAAGGGCAAATTACTGATAATTACCAGACAATGCAGACAACATCTTAAGAAATTAATTTTTTCAGTACGTTACAGTATTAAAATACCAACTAAAATGCTTTAATGAAATCAGTTGTAATTGAAATGCTTATTAAGTAGGTGTTAAGTGTCTTAATAATGATTTTACAATTTATGGTGTAGGATGTATGAATATTTACACCTTAAGCATAGAAAGTGTAAATGTAACTTATAACTATACTGATTATTATGTACTGGTAATAAAATACATAAAGGACAGTATCATATTCATAGAATGGGAAGTGAAGTCACAAATCATAAAACACTCTCCTTTCAATTCTATTTATGCTGTTCAAATGAGACATTGAAGCTTAATATGTGAAATAAAAGTGAAATGAATAGTACATGTAACACTGTGTGCTACAATTCATTTATGGAAACACAAGTGTATAGCATAAAAGTAAGAGGTATATATCAAATATACAGCCAATAGAAGTAATCAAATTCTTTCACCACAAGTTGTAAAAGAAGGTTTTTCTGCTGCACTAGCCCCATCTGTTAAGCATTATCAAAACTCACTGTTCATGAACGTAACAAGATAGTTTTTTTTTAATTTTATAGATGTGCATTGTAAAGGCTTTAAACCATCAACAATCGTGCCATTATCCAGAACAGGACAAAAACCATGTGTGATGTCTCTTGCATTTGCATCAAACATTGACATGTGTCTGTATAAATGTAATGTTATTTTTGTTTTAATATTTCCAGTGGATTTGAGTATCTTGCATGGTAACTAACATCATTATGCAACTGTAATTTAAGACTTACTAATCTTTGTACATGCTGATAAATGTAACTTGTTGAAGACCTTTACTGGTGTATTTAATATTTTAATGTCATTCCAATATTGGAGAAAATGTTATTGGCTGTCACAGTACTGTATTTTGATATAAGAGAAACAAAAGGTAAGATGTAGTTATAAATGTATCTTTATAATGAAGCAAAACACAAATGTAATATTAGGAAGCATTTATTAAACATTTCAGAATCTTCAAAATTTCATCTTCAGTGTTGTACCTCTAGATTACTGAAAATGGAAGTTTGAAGATTTTGAGAAGTTTAATAAATGCTTCCTATTATTATGTTCCTGTTTTGGTTTATTTTTAAGTTATGTTTTCCAAAAAATGAATCAATTACCAAATGTATCTTTAACATTTTTAGGCTTAAGACAAACTATATAGAGCTACATATACTAAGTTTATATTGTGTAGTTGTATTACATTAAAGTCAATCTATTTTTTTTTAAACATAATACACAGGAAGTTTATAATTGTATTACTTCATTATTCATATTGTTTTACTGAAAAATGTAATGTAAAAATGTTTTAATGAACTTCAACATTCTCCACAAGTTTTATATTTTTGATATTTCTCCTTTGCTTAATAAGGGAGATTTCACTTAGAATGTAAGATTTTGAAAGAAATACATTACTCGTGAATTAATTGTAAGACTTTTTCCATTATAATTTCAATTTGTTGTTATTTAAATAAACCTCCAAATTTTTCTCTTGAAACTTCTGGAATTTAGTTTCTCGAACATATAGATTGTGATACATGTTAGATCTGTGCTTTATTTCTGTATAAGTAAACAGTATATAATATGCTTATAATATTTCCCTCCATATTAAAAACAAGATCTAAATGGTGCTACTATAGCGTGCAGTCTACAAAGATATTTACAATATAGCATGAGGTCTACACAGATACTATCATCATTCTCACTGTTTTAACTTTCAGTTATTTGCAATTGGCACCATTTATTATAAATAATTCTTTTAAAGTAATAAAGTACAAAATACCATTACATAATGTTTTTGGGACAAACATAATATGAATGAAATAAATTCCAATTATCAATACTAGCATAATTATAACGTAAGTTTAAGGTACTTTTTTGGAATGCATAACTTATAGAATTATTATTATTTGCAGAACAAAAAACATGGATAGGTGTAAATTAATTAGCAAGAAATTATGTTTTAGTGAATCAATAAATCTGTGACGATAGTATCTGTGTAGACCACACGCTATAGTTTAAATATCTTTGTAGACTGCATGCTATAGTAGCACTATGTAAATTATCTTCTTTACAGGAGTGCCATGCCCATTATATAGTCTTCACATTTGCAGATGGCTCAGTACTGCAAAAAGCAATAACAAGTATATAAAGAACAGACAAACATATAAATTGATGGTCATTATATTTTTTTATGGAGTTCCAGATTCTTAAAACATAAAACCCAAAAGTATTTGGGGGGGGGGGCATCTAACCCCCCACCCCCCCACACATTTATATTATATAAATATAAGTTGAGAATTCAACCCTTACATTTTTTGTGTGCTTGACTACAGATCTGTGATTTGTCTCCTGTTAGCACCAAAAGAAACTGTTCCACTTTGAAGCCATAGGTGATTATAAAAGTGACAGTCAAATCCCACTGTTTGGTCTTATGAGAGTTGGTAATGGGTTGTGTTGACTAGTTGCTTTCTCTCTATTCTATCACTTCAAAATTATGTACGACTTGAGCAGATTTTCCTCATGTAGCATTGCACAACATTCAACAAAACTACCAAGTAATTTCCTAGTATAGGAAAAATTTAAATTTAGTATTTGTTTGGCATAACTGAAAGAGTCATATTTGCATTAAAACATAGTCTTAAAAACAAGTTTACACTATACATGATGAAGTTGCTGTAAAATAGAGAGCATGAGTGTAACTTAATTTTTATTTATTTATTTTTTTAAGGTATGTCACTGGTTAAGGATACAAGGTCCTTAGTTAAATTGAGTTAATTTTTTCACACAGTATGGATAGTGGACAGACCAGTTTAGATGACCAAGCTGTAGCTGAACTACAACAAGAAGCTAAACGAGGAGCAGCTAGAGCTGAATTGGTAGGTGCTTTAGGTTGGAAAAAACCGACAGGAATGAAACTGAACAAAATATTTCTCCATAACACTATCTTAAGTACAGTGCGAGGACCTGGTGTTAAAAAAAGAATCAATCCTCTTGATGAAGTAGCAGTTCCAAGTGAGTCTCAACAGAGTCAGTACTATCAAAGGAAAGTAGTGAGTGGAGACATACCACACCAGAAATTACCTTCAACAAATAAAAAGCACGAACCAGGACACTCAGAAAAACTTCAAAAATCGACAATTCAGCAGTCACCAGTTAGTGCTGCTACTAAGCTATTAAACAGAGCACAAAGGTTAAGAAAAGAAAAGTCTAAAAATAACTGTAGGCCTGGAACTTAATGAGTTTCATTGACTGTTATTAATATAATAGAAATGGTATTCAACAGATTCTGTAATTTTGACAAGTACACATATGTTATTTGTAAGTACTGTATAGTTTCTTATTGATTTGTAAAAAAAAGTTAACATGGTGTTAAACTTTATGTCAAAGACAACTTGTGTTGGTGATATGTATGTACATGTATATGTGTACTCGTGTATATGTGTATCAATAACACAAAAGTCATGAACTTTTTCCCTCATTATAGGTGAATTAGATAAGATGTGTTATTTATTTAGAACATAAAGTATTGTTTTAGAGGAGTTTTAGGCAGGGAAGATTTCACTGGAATTTCAATTTTATGGATTACATTGCACTTAGGTTAGAGTGGACAACACTTTGGGTGTAGTGATGGCCTCAGCATAAATGAAGAGGAATCCACTCCTACAGTTCAGCAAGAAACCTATCATAAAATGTAAAATATAGCTTATCAAATGTCATTGTTATTTAGAATCGTTCTGGAATCTGATATTGAACATGATTCTAAGTAAACACTAGTGACTGGTGTGTGTGCTGTTGGAAGGAATAAGTTTATAAGTAGCTAAGGATGCAACTTTACAAAACTTTTTAGGGAATTTTGCTATTACGTGTACAGCTGACTTTTCTATGAGAAATTATTAATAGAACTTTGGAAGCTACATTTTTTAATGACTTCAATCTAAGATACTTTTATGCGTGGAAAAGTATTTTCTAGCCTCTTTTTGTGGGATTATGAATTATTATGTAAGTCTCTGACAAACTTACTTTAAAAGTAAAGTATCATGGAATTATTAAATATGGTATGTTTAGTTGTTAAATAAAATCTTTTTGAATTTATGTTGTTTGTTTTGAATATTGTTGCCTAAAAGAAATGTGGTTTTATTACAGTCTCGAAAAAAACTGTTTTGAAAAAATGAAACTGAAGTTTGTTATTAATATGTGTGAAATGAAAATTACTAACACAAATTTTTATTTTATTTTTTTCTGTACATATTTTATGATGATGTATATTCAGTTCAGTTAAGTTTCAATTACAAAATTAACAATGTACAACTTTTTGTTTTATAGCTCATAAGATGTAAAATATAATAAAAAAATGCTGTTTTTGAGCTGAAACTTAAGTCTGTTGCAAAATTTCGTTTTAGACACATAAATGACTAATCAAGATTTCTACAAACTTATATATGTAATTAGTGCCTTATCTAACATAACTTTTATTGTTCTTAGGATTATTAATGATTTCATCATTCAGAACTTTAATAGTGACAGCAACATCACAGAGTCTTAAAAATGTAATTTGTCATAATTATCAGTTAACTTCTCATGCCTTTCAAACGAACATTAATATTTATAGTAAATTCAATAAATATTACCCATAATATTTCAGCTTCAACATCCTAACTATGCGACTTCTAAATGCAAATTTTCTGAGGTGTTACTGTATAGATTTGCTCCATGATGAGTTCATAACTAGCTAAATGTGATTTCTGGGCATCCTGATGAATAACATTTTCGTGTTTCTGATTTTTTTATTTGTGTGCATTATATATATTGCTCAATTACTCAATATGTGATCCCCACCAGTAGTGAATGGTATATACTATGTTAGCAATTTTAGGGAAATTTGTATGACAATTGTAGTTTCTTGTTGTTGTTTTTTTTTCGTATTTTTAATATAATATCTTAAAATCTTCAGAATGTGCCCTGGGACCAAATTATAATACTGAAAGGTCCAAATCTGGCTTTCATTGCATTGTAGGAACAAAAAATTGTATTTTTATGACAGTGAAAGTTGCATGACACTGGGAGCATGTGTGCTGGAGTTTCTCAAATGATCATGAAGGCCCGAGTGCATTCGAGACGCCCTCTTTTTAGTATATAAGCCTGGCAAGAAAAACCAGCACGTTTGAAGAGATAGATAATTGAGTCAAGCGAACAGTAGGCACCATAAGTAAAGTGTGTGAATCACTGTGATTTATAGTGTGTTTTATAAAGGTTGTTAAGTTTAAAGTGACTGTGGACATTCTGTGTATTACAAAGTTGTATCGAGAATGAATAAACTAGTTTTAATCGAGAAGGGACTTGTATCGCTGAAGTTCCTCGGAAAGAATTTTTACCAGAAATTAACAAACAAGCAGATACGTAACAGTATTTTAGGTAATATTTTTTTGTATTGCAAAAAAATTGGATCATTCAAAACTTTAACAATAATGCTAACCCATACTGATAACAAACAGTTAGTTTAAGCCAGAAACTTACAGGTGACTCTGTGTAAATTATTTTAGTCTTTATAATGCAACAATGATGGTAATCCATATTAATAACAAACAGTCAGTTTAAACCAGAAACTTACAGGTGACTTGGTATAAATTATTTTAGTCTTTATAATGCAACAACGATGGTAATTCATACTGATAACTAACAGTTAGTTTAAACCAGAAACTTACAGGTGACTTGGTATAAATTATTTTAGTCTTTATAATGCAACAACAATGGTAATCCATATTAATAACTAACAGTCAGTTTAAACCAGAAACTTACAGGTGACTCTGTGTAAATTATTTTAGTATTTATAATGCAACAACGATGGTAATCCATACCGATAACTAATGTAACTTAAATTGAGAATAATTGCATGTATATGATTTCTTTAGTTTCTGTTAACATAGTAGAACATGCAACACTTGTAGACTGACCAATTAATTGCCTTGAATAGTTACTTTCACTAAATACTAATTTCAAATGACTAAGGGTTATTATTTGTTTCCAGGATTTAGTGGGTAATGTTACTCATCCTGAGAAGTTCTCAAGTTACGAGATTTGTGATGGAAATTTTTTGTGCTAAAGCATTTTAACAAAATTATAGACTAGCATACAATTCTAAATTTAAAATATAAAACTCATCTCTATTCAAGTGAGTTTGAGGGCTTATAACACTATAATTGGGGTTTGATCCCTGCATCAAACACTGTGCAGGTAGCCAATTGTGTAGCTTTGGGTTAAAATCAAACAATAACTAATGTATTGTATGACAAAAAAACACATGATATTATTGAAGGTCGCTTTAACTAACCCTTGCACATCTCAAAAATTTAAACTTCTTCTGTTTCGTAAAGCACAAATAATGTTGTTACTCGTGCATTGAAATGAAAGCACATACATTACAATATATTGACGGGCAAACATTTGTCTGGTCTTATCTTAAATTAGCTGACTTTTGTATGTGTTAGTTACTTGGTGCCAATAAACCGGACTATAATATTTCTAAATATTGGACTTGTATTTTGGGTACAGTTACACAGGCTAATAATTAATAATACAATTTTTAAAAGAATGAAGTGTTATCGTATTTTGATTAAATGTTTAAATATTTGGTGGGAGCAGGATAAGTTTGGCTGTGATATGTAACATTGTGTAGTCAAGGGCAAATAGTTATTTTTTATGTGTGTGTGTGTGTATATACATATATATGTAAATAGCACTTAACTGTTTGCATATACATATATATGTAAATAGCACTTAACTGTTTGCAGACTTATGAATGAGAGAAATGTCATAGTAAAGGAGTTTTCATTTTCAAAAGATATTTGAAATTGTGGTGTAGCATTAAAATATCAAATATACGCACCTATAAATGATAACTTTGTATTGTTATGTTTTCTGTAAATTCAGTTGCTTAAAACTCATAAAGTTAAAAAAAATATACATGTTCAAGAAATAATAAGAAAATTATTATGACATTAGATTTTTCAAATTTACACACACACACATTTGAATAAAGAATGTTAGAAGTTTGTATTTTGGCATAAAGCACTGAAAGTGTAACATTTTGTTCTGTAGCCAGAAAGGAAGCTTAAACCAATGATAAAAGGGGAAAATGAGAATCTGTTCTTATTTTAGCACAAAGCTACAAAATGGGCTATCTGCACTATCCATTACAGAATAGAAGCCCAGATTTTAGTATTGTAAGTCCATAAACCCACTGGGAGACACAAGAATCTGAAATAACTAGATACTAATTAGAAGAAGAAGCCATCAAGGCATACCAGTTTAGCTTTATCAAGGCTTTCCAATAGTTGCTGAATTTTAATGATTGAAATAGCTGAATAAACAGAAAGTAAACATAAATATTGATTATTGTTTTATGTATTTGAGCCTTCACACTTATTTCTAAATTTACAAAATTTAGATACAAATAATATTTCTCAGAGTTGCCCAGTAATCTTTCTTTGTATGGTGAGGAGTAACCCTAGTCTGTATAATTTGGTAATTAACCACAAGACATTGTCTTCGCCTAAGTTTTGTCTGTGTAAACTATTTCTTTCTTTTTAGAGTATACATTTCCATTCTGTTATTTATGGTCACTATATTTCAGTTAAGTTTATCTTTTAAGTTTTCAATTTATTTAGTTAAAACAGTATTTTAAAATTCCTTTAACTGTTTTTGGAGGGGAAAAAATTTTTGTGATTGTGGTTTTTCTACTTTAAGTGATACAAATTTCCTTCACAGTTGAACTTGGATTTCAATTTCAAACTTGACAGTGTAAAAGAAAACTCAGATTTTGATTATCTATTTTATTTTTGATTTAATACATACATTTGCACAAGTTATGATACAGAAAACAAGAAATATGGCACTGTTAGTATATTTACTGTTATATTTAATAAACTACATTTAATGACAACAATAAAAATCTAAATTGAAAGGGAAACAGCCATGAAAAAAATGTATATGTATTTAATTCAATATATTGCACTTTTTTGTGAAAAATATTAAAAGTTATAAATATCATCTCTGTATCTTAGTTTGGGTTCAGAATAGTCTCATTTGAAACCTTATGTAATTACAACCATTGCATTTTTAATTAAGAATCATAACTATTATAAAAAAAACCACTACTGAAGACACCATAGCATTGGTTTGGGCAGCATTATCACACAAATCCTTTTTCGTGAGATGAGCAAGTTTCTTGAACTGCAGTCTCTTTGGACTGGCACACGTTACTTCTGGAAACTTTTTATTTGTGACCCATTGGAAGAAAACTTCCTTTTCAAGCCCACACTTGCAGTCGAGTTCTGCAGAAAATATAATAATCATGAGTCAAAATATAAAGAAAATGTGAGGGATCTATACAATATGAAGTATACTCTATCTTTTGCAAACACCCTCACAACTCCTATAATTAATTTGATTTTAGATATTTAAAATGTAAATTTTACATTTTCGGTTCTAATCTTCCGTAAGATAATGTTCAGTTTCATGTTTGCAAAGTGTTATTTTTAATAGTCCTTTTCTAACTAGACTTTTTTTATTACCTAGAGATATTGTTGCGTCAGCGAGGTCACGTGACTAGTGTCACCCCACGTTTCTAGAAGTATCTTGTTCCTTCGTGAATGCCCTAGCATTTACTAGATATAGGGGAGTCTGGTATATATAAGATGGTCACGGCGTGACGTGACAATGTGTGTGTAGGTAATGAGTAATTGAACTGCAGTCAGAAAGTATTGTTGAAGTTAACGTCGTTATTATAGTTTGTTATAGCGCGACTGTTGAAATTGAGTGTATCGTAAAGTTGTATTCGGAAAGAATAAACCAGTTTTATTAAGAAAGGACTTGTGTCGCTAAAGTTTCGTGGGAACGAAGTTACGGAAAATCAATTAACGAACGGAGACGTAACAAATTGGTGTCAGAAGTGGAACGAAAAAAAAAACGGAAACGAGAGTCGGAAAATCAAACTACAGTTTAGCAGACTTGATGGCAGCAATACAAGAGCAACAAAAGAAACAAGAAGAGAGACAACAGCAGCTGCAAGAAAA